TGTCCAATGATCTCTCGATTCTGCCAACCACATGGTGAAGGGCCGAATCAGTAGACCTTCCCGGGGTATATGCATGCTGATTTGGATGAAGTGGGTTGTTAACAAGTACTTCATCTCCTATGTACCGCTCACATAGCCTCTCCATGGTTTTTAACAAAAACGATGTGATACTAATTGGTCGGAATGCTTTTGGTAGGGTGTAATCCATCCTACCTGGTTTGGGTACAAATACTACTCTTACTTCTCTCCACTTACTGGGAGTATACCTCAGAGCTACAGAGGCTCTGAATACAAGGTGCGGCATAAGTATTTCCAGTCCCCATTGAAGTGCGGCTGATCTTATACCGTCAGGCCCTGGTGACTTGAAGGGGGAAAAGCCCGATATAGCCCATCTTATTTTGTCCTCATCAATTACTGTACTAGCATATTGCCAGTCGTATTGTGAGGGTGTTGTTGGTACATCCGTCCAGTTCGCCGTTCCAGGAAAGACAGAACCTGGGAAGTGGGTTTCCATAAGAATCTCAGCACTCTCCTGGAGGTTGGCGGCTTTGTCGCCATTTTCCTTCGTCAGGATGCCGATACTCTCATGGTGGTCATTTGAGAGTGCCTTCTATAGCCTAGAAGCTAGTGGGAAATCTTCGACTGCTTCACAATAGGCTCTCCAGGCTTCTCTTTGCTTTCGCCTGCAGACTTTTTGAACTCTATGAGGTTGGCTTGATATATACCTCAGTCCTCTTCGAGTTTTTTACGTTTTACCTTGTTGTTGGGGGTTACAATTGACACCAATATGTCTTGGCACAATTATGTTGCTGGAATTGCAAAGGCTGTTTCTCAAAAACTTGAAACACTGTACAAACCTCAGCAACTTTTGATGCTTTATGAAGCTCAGATCAGACCGTATTTTGAGTATCGTTATCATGTATGGAGCTCTGCCCCCAAACATACCCTGAAGCTGCTGGATTCATCCAGAAAAGAGCCATGCGCCTGATTAGAGACGCAAACATCACTTGCCACACCTGAAAATCAAAGAAAGGTTGGGTATTTATCTCTCTTTCATAGATACTTTCACAGGAAGAGAACTCACGCGACAATACGCGACGGACTGTGGCTGTTCATCGTTTTGAATCTCCAGAGATTCAAATCCAATGTGTATCGCTTATTTCACACAGACACCGCCCTCAGAGCGCCTTAAGGATTTTCCAGTAGTACTTGTATTTTATAAAAAAAAATATCTACTCATTTTTGTGACAAGATTAATTTGAGATTGGTAGCTTTCTTCTCTTGTTTAGAAAATCCACAAATTTTTTGTCAAAAGGATGAAGAAGTAGAAAGTTAAACATCTTTTTACCAATTTTCAATTATACGTTTGAAATCAAGTCACA